CCACATCTTTTAAATATTGGTATAGTGGACATCCCTTAATTTTTGCCTCCCTCAAATCATTTCCCATTTACTTTGATGATAGATCCCATTTTTCTGTTGGAATGCTACTCTTTCTGTGATGTTTGTGGAACTATAAATTACAGTATTCTGGCCTTGTACCCCCCTGACTGAGATTTGATCATGTGCTTAAAGCTTATCCAATCAAATTTCCCCTCCCACCAGGACTTTGAGTCTTAAGAGAGATGACACAAGCAAAATAATAGGAGCTGAGTTATTCCGATGGTAGTGTCCCAAGGAAAGCATAAGAGTTGGTGCAAGGACATCCCCAAAAGTTCCCTGGATCCTGTTGTCAAAGCCTAGTTATTCAGATTTTCCTTTGATTCTGTAGACTATCATATATTCTTATGTTCCCTTTTTGTTTGTATGCAGGTTTCTGTCGCTTGCAACCAAATGACATTGATTTCAGAAGCTGATAATAGAGTTAAATAATAGTAGATTTCAGACCCTCAGGAACATGGAGGATCTGGAATTGATTATTGCATTGAGACTGAATTAAAGGCAATAACTGTTGCTCTATGTCCCTGGAGAGTGAGGAGGTTGTGTATGCAATTTATATTGGCAAAACAGCAAGTAAAGATACTTCCCCTTGTCATTTGGAATCATATGACTATTGCAGGCAGAATTTGGATAGCCAGCTCGTTGTTGACAATGGGACAATTGGAAGTAGATAAGACCATTGAGTTAGGATAGTTTCTTGGATTACATTGGATAATTTAAAATGAGAGGACAAGGTTAGACCCAGAAACAGGTCTGTAGGCATAGAGTAAAATCTAGGGCCTTTCTGTGTCTTGGATGAATGAATCTCTTCATGCTTAATTCTAAAACTACGCCTTAGAGATTGATTCCACAAATTTAGAAATTACAGTGCTGATTGAATTTGCAGCTTTACTGCAAACTTAAAGGGACTGACTGATGGACTTTTGATATCTGGAAGGAGTCAAAAGACATGGGAAATCCCAATCCCTATATATCTCAGAAGTAAAAGTTTGGGTTTTCCTGTTAGTCAAAAACCCTTGGCTGAAGAAAATATACAGAATCTATAGTGAAGGAGGAAGAGAGAAGTACCAAATACAGCCCTGTGACTTGTTGCAGAAATAAGGTCTATATTATAGACTTTACCCATATCTCTTTGTTTACCTCGTTTTTTTTTTTTTTTATCCTTCTTCTTTCTCCATTTTAGTACTTTGCGTCTCACTTCCTGGCTGAAGTTTAAATATGATCCAAGTTAATGTAATCAGATTTACCCTCGATTCAAATAGACATTCTGCTGGCACTGTGCCTTCACTAATATATGTGAATATGTTGGTGATGGTTAAATATAGCAGTAAATCCATAATTGTAGATTATCAAGATGAGGTTAAGAACTAGAGTAGGATGAATATCACCTAGAAATCCTAGACTTGACACTGGATGTGATAACGAAATTATTTTAGGTTATCTTCCTTGGGAAGAAAATGAATCCATTTCCTGCAGTATGTTGAATGGAGGCATTTCTAAAATTGTTCATGTTGAAGAATGCATTGCTGGACAGCCGAAGAATAGAACCTAGTGGACATCTGCATTTATTTGCCTACCCAGGTCTTTTTCCTCCTCCTTTGGGAATAACACTTCACCTTTCCTTTGAGAAGCTACCCTTCTCCCACGCTACCAAAAGATAATATGTAAGAAGCATAGGAGTTCCTGTTACTGAGATTTCCTCAGTTGCCCAGGTTCCTGATTTTCTTGAATGATAAACTCTAATTTCGTGAACTGCCTCATATCCTTTCAGTGGATTACATTGGTTAGGCAGGCTGCTACATATGGCTGTACAAGGTTTCCCCTGTACAACCATATGCAGAGGCCCTGTAGCCAGCCTTGATTTTTGTTCCTTTCAGTCAGAGACCCTAACTGAATCACTGTCCTTCCTATGCGTTAGGCCTTCTTGCCCCATAGACTCTGAAAAATCTCATCTCTTCCCATGGCTTTAGTTTCCAACTGTTGATAGCTTCCAGATTCCTGTCTTCAGCACAGACGTATTTCTTGAGTTCCAGATCTGAATGTCCACCTTTCATCTGGATATTCCCCTGCTTGATTAGCACATAGATACCTCACATTGACCCCATTATTTTTCCTTCAAAATTCTGTTCTCCCAGTGTTCCCATTTCTTGATAAACAACACCACCCTTCATCTTGTTTCTCAAACCAGAACATGCTCATTATTCTTGATGCTTCCTTACCTTCTTTCTCACCCAGGCATCCCTATGAATCATTAAATTCTTTTGGTGTGTAAATATACCTCAAAACCATCTTCACTTCTATCACCCTTGCTAGGACTATTGCAAAGCCCTTCTAGTAGTGTCACTGCCTCTACTGTTGTCCTACTACAGTCTGTTCTTTACAGAGCATCTAGAATAATCTTTAATAGATCTGATTGTGTCACGTCTGTGCCTAAAACTCTTTAATAGTTCCCCAAGTTGTTTCAGAATATCATCTAAACTTTTATTCTGGAACTTTACCCTTGTTTACAAGGTTCTTCATTATTTTGCTTTTCAGGCCTCATCTTTCACCACTCCAAACATGGCAGTTCATTTTTACATATTGGAGTTACCTGTAATATTTCATTTGAAAAAGGATTCTACCTTTTTTAAAAAGAAGGGTAAGCTTTCATTAAAAGGAAAAAATCAAAACCCTTGATGTTCAGAACTACCTAATTAACATAATTTACTTTCTTCCAAATTTCTCTTTCCATGAAGTTTCTAAATGAAATCTGATATGTGTAACTACTATGTAAATAGAGCTACACTAAGGTGCCTAGAGAGTAACCAAATCCCTATCTCACAACATACACAAAAATAAATAACATAAGGACTACAAATTTAAATGTTAAAATGAAATATTGGAAGAATTTTTAGAAGACTATGTTTATAATCATATGGTAGGAGATCATAAGCAAAACAGGAAACCTACAAACCCTAAAGGAAATTATAGATATATTTGGCTATAGAAACAAATTTTGGGAAAATATCTTGGTTCTATAAAAGACACATGATAGACTAGGGAAATTATTTTTAACATAGGTGGCAGATTGAGGATTAATATCCCTAATATACAGAGTTCCTACAAATTGATCACTACAAAACAATCACCCCCATAGAAAATACCCAGTAGGTAACTCAGTAGAAATCTAAAAGATCAATAGTAATAGTCACTAACCATTTATTGTTTGTTATGTGCTAGACATTGTTTCAGGTACTTTATAAGTATTATTTAATTCTGATAACTTACCCTATAAGAAAGGTAATATCCCTGTTTTACAGCTGAGGAAACAGGCTCAGAGAAATAAAGTAACTTGCCCAAGTCATAGGCACACATCTTGAGCTGTGACTCAAACTCAGATGGTCTGACTCCATTGTCTGCTCTGAACCATTATGCTCTGCATTTCAATAAGCATATGAAAGAAGTGTACACATTATCAGTGAGGTATAAATCAAAGCAGCAAGGTACCACTGATCACCTATCAGATGGCAAAATTTAAAAGAAAAATAACCTCCAGTGCTGGGAAGAATTAGGGTAAATGAAAACTTTTGTACATTGGTAGTTTGGCCATATCTATTAAAACTTTAAAATGTACTTTGACTCAGTCCAATGTCAAAGACTCAAAGAACTAAAAGCACTGAGATACAAGAACGTCAGAATGAGAAGTTTACTGCAGCATGGCCTGTGGAAGCAGAAAAATGAAAACAGCTTGAGCGTCCATCAAAGAAGAATGTTTGAATCAGTTATAGAACAGCTGGAGTATTATACAACTGTTAAAAAGAATAGGTAAGAGCCTTAGCCTTTAACTTGTGGCATGTCCATGATGTATTTAAGCAAAAAGAGAAAGTTACAAGGTAATGTACATCATGAGAACACATTTTTGTAAAAACAAATGAAACCTAAAAATGTGTCGAAATAACCAAGTAAAAGAAAGTAGGATTCACTGTAGGCTATATTATGGTTTCAGTTGAGTTTAGAGAAATTTAGCACTTTATACATACTAGCATTGTCTCACTACTTGTGGGAAGCATGTGCCTTTTTTTTTTAAACACTTTGAAGAAATACTTTTTGAAGAAGCAATTTAATTACAACTGGTCGTTTTTTAATTAATATGCTAAAAAAAAAGGCAACAAAGACTAACAAAGACCAATGTCTTACATATTTAAGGTTACTTGATTTCCAGGTGACTGGTCTTCAACCTTTAAATAGGCCACTCTCTCCAGCAGACAAGGGGCTGTCCATTAGGATGCCACATTCTAACAAAGACCGGTTCTCTCCCTGTATCTATTCTTCTCAGAATAAATGCCACCCTTCCCAGCCTCCTTTGCTGATAAATATAACCCAATGACTAAATTTTAGTCAGTGGGGCATGAGCAGCTTCTGGGACTTAAAAGAATGTGCGCCCATCTCCTTACATTCTGCTGGCTAGAACTTGGGTCCATTGGCTGGAACTTAAGCACGTCACTTGGACCATGAAGGAGAAGGAGCTGTGTATGAATGGTGATGGAGCAACAGTGAGAAGGAGCCAAAGTTCATGATGAATGTGGAGCCACCAGGCCTGAAGCATTTACCTCTAGACTTCATTTACAAGATAAATTAACATGTATCCTCTTTACATAATTGATATACGAAGTTTTCTAATTCCTTTTGTTCTAATTTTAAACTGCTGAAGCAACCTGCCCCTAGCTGGGCTCACTGACAAGAGGGCAGTGACAAGGTAGATGACAGGTTAGGTCAAGAACCAAGTATGTATCTGCCGTCATAAATTAATAAGTTGGCCTCTTGCTTTATTAGCTAGGCGCCCCCTCCTTAATGCTCCTAAAACCCCACTACTATAGATATGTTGCTTTTATCATCCCAATATCCATCCCCTCATATTTTGATAAATGCACATCAATTGCCCTCTAGGCTTCCAGCCCTCCTCCACTTTTTGTTCATATGCCAACTACCCCTGGCTCCAGGGTTGGCACATAACTCACACTGACCTACCAGAGCCTTGCATCCCCTTGGTCTGGATAATTGGATAAGGAGTGAATATATAATCTAAGCCAGACCAATCGTACACAACCAGCTTATTCCGAGAGGTTGGATGAGGGGGTGGTGGTTAAACATCTGAGAAAGACATTTCCTTTTGTTTTTAATTATTGAATTTTGAACTATAAAGTTGCAAGCCTGGCACTGCTGGTAATCATCTCACTACCACAAAGTTGCCTATCTGAGAATGGAACCTATACAGGGGACTAAGAGACTCCTAAAGACATTGTTGTCACTTGGATCCAGTCATGCCAGAAGCCAACTAACTCTGGACATTTTCTGCAAGCCAGGAAATCCAATTTTTGCCTGTTCCATTTGAGTCTTTTCATGAAATGGACAGAGTTCTGACTAAAACATTTTATTTCAACTTATCACCAACACTTGACACTGTTTAGGAAATATGAGATTATTTTGTTAGAGGTACAAATTTAGAACCTGTTAACTCTAATAGACTGAACCACGGAAGTTTCTGCATTGGCAGCACTGGAATGCTGGCAAGCACTCAACCTCTCCAAGCGTGTTTCTTTACTCATAAAAAGAGGAGTAGCAACAGTCCCTGCTTTAAAGATTGTGAGGCTTAGAAAAGATGAACACAGTGCTGACCACCATGCCTGGCACCTGGTAAGCCCTCAGTAAATTGCAGTTGATCTTAGTAATAATGTTAAGGTGACGATACCCTGGAAGACTCTCAGCTCAGCCAGCCAGCCAGCCATTCTCTTGCTGTCTTTTTAACCTCAACTTGCTGGTGTCAATGACACACTATCATATTCAATCTCTTTTATAAGGAAAGTCGATTCCTTATTTGCTCTATCACCCTTGAGAGTGCTGGTGGTAGAAAAACATGTCACATTCCATTTTTCTCATGTGCTGAGGTCCTTGGACACCACCCATGCCAGTTGGTCTGTTGGCAAATGTAGTAAGAGGCCTGAGTTAAGGAAGTCCAACTCCTGTTGATAGAAATATGTCCTTCCTCAGAAATATGTCCTTCCTCATCTATGCCAGTAGGCAGCCCATGGGGGAGCCTGGGCATGCTCTAGGTGGATGTGCAGCTCATTCGTTCACTGCATTGGGTTGAGACCCAGCACACCCAAATGCTCCTTGTTTTAAAAACTACAGGTTTAAGTCAGAGTTAAGAATCTTGGTCCTTCACACCAACAAGAACAAAAGATTTTTTTTCTGTTCATATCATTCTAAATATCTCAAGAAACTTTATGGCTTTATTGCAGGTTGCCATCCTGAACTGTCTGGCCTTCAAGGCTGAGGGAAAGTAGCTGAAATCAGACCTAATCGTTAGGTCAGGGAAATGGGCTGAAGCCAGATTTCATCAAGCAGCAAGCACTCAGAGCCTGTGGAGCCCTGGGCTCATCCTTGTCATTCTCCTGAGACAACGATAATGGAACAGAAACATCCCAGTCACACTTGCAAGACTCAACGACTGGCCTCTTTGAACAGGAGCTCTGATTTCTTGAGTTCTGAAGATGCCTGGGAATGTTTGGCGTTGGGGAGAAGAAAGTTTGTTCGGAGAAAGTATTCAAGTGCAGACGCTGTTTTACGTGGTCCAGGACTCGGGAAGACATACACAGATCGGGGCTTCACAGCCTTCAGGGTTGGTATGGGGATAGGATGTGGGACAGGGAGTTGTGAGTACGGGAGGACCAATGAACTCAGACGATACGCTGGTCACAAAGATTGGTTGACATGCTCAGAAGACAGCAGTGACAGTCCTCAAAGCAGCATTCAACTTCCATCTCATCTTCGGAACACATGGATTGTAGTGTGCTATGACTTAACATTTTAAAATAAATCCTCTGGTTCTCTTGTGGCCAGTACAATTGCATTGCAGTATATTCTGTGTGTATTCTACAATATTCATTTCCCAATGTAATTGAAGTTATACCGCAAATTTTGAAGAGTATACGATACAGCAAACATGAAATCAGAGTCCAGGGCTACATGTAAACACACACACTTGTTGCTACCGCCACTAAGCTGAGACAGCCCAGAAAGTTGACGTCAGAGGCAAGGCACAGCTGGGTCTCCATGAAAGACAGCCTGTGGCTGGAGAATATCATACCTTGAGGGTCCTACAGAGGAACTGAGCAGTTACAGGGCTTCTTCCCATCACTCCCTGACCCAAAGCAACCCACCCCCATCACCACCACTTGAGATGTTTCATTATCTCTAATGATGGGAAAGCTTGGATAATCAAAAGTGAATGTGGAAAAGTTTCAAGAAATTTCAAGTCTGTAATAGCAGGCATCCTTGGCTTTAGCTGAAAAGCAAATCGATACAGAGTTGTTCTTAGCACTTCGCCAAATGGATTGCTGTTTCCTTGTGCCTGAGCCACCCAAAAAGGGAACAAGGACTTAGGCTGTGTTTATAACTCTTTGCCTGGATACCTCTCCCAGTTTCCTTTTTTAAGGAAAAGAACCCTGCTTTAATAGCATTCTGTCGCCCGGAGCCTGGCCTTGCCTATGTGAACCTGTTTTATGATAACTAGATACTCTTGGCTTCACTTTCTGTACTTGTCCTTGGACCTAACAGCCTAAGAAGAAGAGGCAGAAGAACCTGCTTGTTCCCTTCCTTCTCTAATTCTCTGGTCTTTCTTCCACTAAGAAAAGTTGAGTCAAGCTTCCATGTGCTTCACACATGGCCCTTACAGGAAACCACTTCCTTTTACACATCTGTGAGTACCAGGTCTATATAGAAGGGATCCTCATACATTTCCTCCAGCTCTGGCTCCTCTTTTTTCTAATCCTGTAGTGTTCACCTTCTCCTACACCTGCCTTGTGAAACTTCATATGGAGAAAGGCACTCAACATATATTAAGACTCATACAAGATAAAAGACTATAAGAAATTTGGAAACAACATGTAGATTGCTATTAAGAATAGTCAAGATGTGGTGGTATTACAGAACCAGCTACATAATTTGAGGGGTCCAGTGCAAAATGAAAATGCAGGGGCCTTGTTCAAAAATTGAAATGTGACAGCACATTTCCTGATCATGCGACCCTTCTAAGTATGAGGCCCTGTGTGACTACACCGGTCTCATGCCCAAGAATCTGGCCTTGGTATATTCCAGTCCAGTACCTCTAAAACATGTCCATGCCACCCAGTCTCCCAGTTCTGGCCAACATTCAGAATCATTATAATATATGATAATAACTTATCAGTAGGGCTAGGAATGAAGCTAAGCCCTCTGCCTGTATTAACTCAGTTAATACTCATAACACTCCAGTCATTATAGAAGGAAAACCAGGGTCCCTCAACTGATAAGTAGTCTTCTACCCAGGTTTCTCACCAAAGTTTTGTACTCCAAACCATGGATCTATTTCAGCCTAAAAAACAATGAGACTCTCGATGGTGGTTAAATAAGAACAGAGGTATTATAGTCACTAAAATTAGGAGATTCTGACATGATAGAATAATAACTTTTGTTTATCAAACATTTAGTACGTGCAAGGCACTATGCTCTGCATCATTTGACACATTCTGATGTGAATTTTTTTATTCCATAGCCCTAGTGCAAGTAGTATCCCACACTCTATAGGTCATTTAATACTGCCCTGAGTCAACTTGCCCAAACACAGCCTTCCCTCCCCACCCAGCCATGGACTCTGTGATGCGAGAAAACAGGCACCTCCACAGCTGTCACCACATGGAGGCTGCTCTATCTGCTCATGGACATCATAGCCAAAGACTTTTCTTCTGGTGTCTAGGGACATTGGCCCTCACTTCAGATCTGACCTAATCTCCGATCTACACCTGGACCCTCACTTTCTCCAGCCCTGGTGCTATATATTTCAGCATCTCCCAGAAGGATCTGTAAAGACAAGCAAGACCCAAGTCACCTCTACTATTTAAACATCCCCCAAACACCTTTCTGATTTTAAACTTTTCCATGGCCTTGAAACACCAAACCCTAAGAGCATGGAGGTAGGGATAGGAGGTAGTAGTTGCAGCCTCCTTTTGCTATAGCTGGGCTAGGGAGAGGAGCAGCTAACACCAGAGGGTTTTTTGTTTGTTTGTTTGTTTGTTTGTTTGTTTGTTTTTCTTTAAATAACTTGCCAGGTTACAGCAGATGGAGAAACTTTGGCTGGAAGAAAGAGTCTGGTCTAAAGTCCTATATCTAGGAAGTGGCTGCAATTTGAAGCCATCGGTCTTTAAACCCTCAAACCTGGGCCACCTGTTCAGCCTTAGAATCACTTTGGGAAAGCTCATTGAAACTTCCCTGGTGGGTGGCTCCATAGTGTAGTGGTTAGGACGTCTACTTTACACGCAGAAGGTCCTGGGTTTGCACCCCAGGTAGAGCCACTGGACCATACCCCGGGTGCACCAGGCCCTGCTGTGAGCGTGTGGGAGGAGATGCCCCGCCTTCAGAGATCCAGTTCTTAAGAGGAAATGGCAACATCCATAGGTCAGAGGTAGGAGCGGGGGAAATTAAAGAGGGGAGAAAGGAAAAAAAAACTTCCCTGGCTGACAGAATGAAAATCTCTAGGGAAAATCTGCATTTTTTAGATATTCCACATATAACCTAGAAGCTTCTAGAATTTCTATGTAGAATTTATATTTGAAATTCCAGCCAATCTCACAATAGTCAGAGTGGCAGATAGACTCTATGGTACCCCGGCCATGATCAGTGCCTCCTGGCATTCACACCTGTCCTAGTTTGGGCTGCCATAGCAGAATACCACAGACTGGATGACTCGAACAACAACAATTTATTCTCACAGTTCTGGAGGCTGGAAGTCTGAGATAAAGGTGACCAGTCGATTTGGTTTCTAATGAGGGCTCTCTTCCTACCTTCTTGTTCTATCTCCACATGGCCATTTCTCAAAGTATGTGTGAGGAGAGAGAGTGACCTATCTGGTGTCTCTTACAATGACACTAATCCTATCAGATCAGGGCTCCATCTTTATGACTTAATTTAACTGTAATTACTTCCTTAGAGGACTCATCTCCAAATACAGCCATACTAGAGGTTAGGGCTTCAGCATGAATTTGGGGTGGGGGGTGGTCACGATCTGAGTCCATAACAACACCTCTGTGTAATCCCTTCTCCTTAAGCTGGGCTTCCTTCTGAGGTGATACATGCAAGATTATTTCTAACCAATAGCATCTAGCAAAGGTCATTGGATGTCACTGTCATTACATTACATAAGAGTTCATCTTGTTCCCAAACTTGCTCTAGAGGCTCTCCTTGCTGGTTCATTGGAAAATCTACGTGGCAAGAAACTGGGCAGCCTCTAGGAGCTGAGGATGGCTTCCAACCAAAGGTCAGCAAGAAGCTGGGGCCCTCAGTCCTATAGCCACAGGGAACTGGATTCTGCCAACTTGAGTGACCTTGGAAACAGGTTCTGCCTCATTCATGCCTCCAGATGAGAACACAGCCTGACCAACACCTTAATTGTAATATTGTGAGTCTCTGAGAAGAGGACTCAGCTAAGCAATGCAGATAATAAATGTGAGCTACTCTAAGCCGCCAAGTCAGTGGTCATTTGTTACACAACAATGGAAAATGAATACAGTAGGAAACCCCATAAGATCAGTTTACAAGGCTGCATGGATGATTCCTCTTTTTTTACTTCTACCTAGAAGCAAGTCGTATACTTACTGAGGATGACGAAGGGCATGTGCCTAACTGCCTTTAAAATTTTTTTAATTTCTTAATTATGAAAAGTAACAGATGTTCATTGTAGAAAATTTGGAAGTACATCAAAAAAGAAAATTTAAGTTACCAGAAATACTCTCCTCCCACCCCTCAGATAACCACAGATAACACGGTGGCAAACAGCTTTCCCCAACTTGGTCCTGTGTAGAGAGGCTAGATAAAGTTACAAACAGAGAACGCTCTGTACAGACTGTTTTGTAACTTGTCCTCCACATGTCAGCCCACATTTTCTAAAAAATTTGAAGCATCAGAAGGGCGAATTTGTTCCTAGCATTTTGGGATGCTGCCAGACCCCACTTTTAATGACCTCAGGTTTGCTCAGGCAGGGCTTTAGCAAAGGAGATTCATAAAGAGGAAACCGAGACCAGAGAGGGGAGGCCATACTCAAGGCCAGATAGCCTGTCAACATCCAGAAGTTTCTCCCCCTCCAGACTCCTAAAGACATTGTAGTTGAGCTGCTATATCCCCAAAGCCATTACCCTTGGAATTATTGCCAGAACTCATTTCCCATAAGCCACAGCTTTATCCCTAATCAAGAGGAGTGATCAGAAGGGCTTAAAGTAAGAGGAAGCAGCATCCCTCTGCCTGAGATCTGGCCAGCTCACCCCATGAGGCCTGAGTCTCCCCTGGCCTCTAGAGCAGCTGAAATGTGAGCACCATTCCAGAATTTTTAGGGTTTGGCTTTTTTTTAATGTGAGTGGGAAGGTAGAAAGGAAGGAGATGAGGGGAACTAAAGGTATGAACCAGTCATTCAATAAGCTTTATAAAGCCTCTAGAAGTCTAGGCCCTATGCTAGGAACTAGAGCTAAGGAGATAAGCATGATAAAGTCCCATCTCTAAACAATATTTCTGTGTTTATGATACAATAAACAGGTGTTACTTTTGCAATGAAAAAATAATGTTTAGTAAAGATTTCTTTTAAAGAATGCTGGAATTTCTTTAACATTTATGAATTGTGTTCCAATTATTTATTATTCTATAACAAACCACCCCAAAACTTTGTTGTATAAAACAACAATCGTTTTATATACTCAGGATTCTGTGAGTTGGAATTGGGTAGAATATAGTATGGATGGCTAACCTCTGTGCTTTTCTATCTGGGACACCTGGAGTGCCTAGGATGGTTGAAGGTGGCAGGGAGAGCTCAACCTGGGCCATGTGTCTAGGGCCTC